TTGTAGGTATAAATGTGTGTCTGCGGACTGGTATTAGTCAAGGCAAGAGCATGGACAGTTACACCTAAAAGGTCTATTGCAAAGATATGCCTTCAGGCATATCCTCATATTGCCCACCTTACCTCTCCCTGAATAATCCACCTATTCTCCCTACGGCAAATGAAAGTCACACTTTTAAGAAATCCCTTTGGAAAGCAGGATGGAGGCACTTCTTAATATTGTCCCTTGTTGATATTTTTTTTCTTATGACAGAATTAGAAAGGAAAACAGGCTGGCATGGAAAAAATGCAGTCCATGTACATCAGTAAATCCAGATGATATGCATCTGTGGATCCTGAAGGAAATTAGCTGATGAGACTACCAAATGACTTCACAATTGTTTCTGAAAAGCCATGGACGGGAAAGAAACAGCTGCGGTAGCTGCCTTTCAGAAAAAAAGGAAAATGCAGCAATCTGGACAGCTACCATGGATTAGAGGTTAGTTGTTCTGGCCCAACAAATAGCAGCGCGCAAACAAGAAAAGTATTATCAGATGGAGTGCCCAGTTAGGCTCCTGGCACCTGCTGTAGGAGTCTCTGGATTATGCTAAGATCATGGATCATCCTCGTTTAAGACAGAAGTAAATAAACCACTGGGCAGATTTTCAATAAAATACTGTTTCTTTTCCGGGATCCTTAATGTTTTTCTTAAATGCTGCTCACAAAGTGATGTATTCCAAGTAGCTTGTACATTAACAGACATTTCAATACTGTCCTACAGCCTCATTTAGAAAAAACACAGGACCCCTCAGGAGAAAGATTGTTGAAAATCACAATATTTGTATTGAAAGCTACAGCTATGGCAAGCAAAGGGCTTAATCATCTGGTCATCTCAACGACTGCTGAGCCATGAAGAAGGAGGGAAAAAAAGGAAGCCACGCGATAGCTTCTTAGGCTGAATTACAAAACCAGCGGACAAAAAGAATATAATATGGAAGGCATCGTGATGGCTGTGGAAATTTTCATACAGTGCCTTGTGGATGAAAAATGAGTTTAAATCGATAAGAACCTGAGCACTGATGCATGCGGTTAAAAAAAGCCAAAAGGTCATTAAAATAATGGAGAGCTGGTAAATCGTAGGGCCTGAAATTGTCTCAGAGCAGAATTAAATTTAGTCACTGCTCTGTGACAAAATTTTGTTAGCTGTTAAATTTTAGGACTCCGATGGAGGACGTCATTCTGTGCTGCAGTGTTTCATATGAGATCAGCGCAAATCTGAACGAAGAGGCAGCGCACGGAGCCAGCAGAGCCAGCAAGAGAGACTGTGCAAAACTCGCCAGGGCAAGAGGGAAAAATAATTTGGGGGGGTCCTATGAGAAGAGGCACGTCAGAGGCCGCCGAGGCCATCCTCCCTGTCCTGAGCTGCTCCGACGTGGCTGCAGTTCTTCGGGATGGCTGCGGGATGCCTCGGGATCTCGGGAATAAAGCTGGAGGATTCAGCCTGAGCAGGGGGATGGCACATGCTGCAGAGAACTACCCTAGCACGAGTGACGGGGAAAAAAAAAGGCAAAACCTTCTTGACAGATCTTTTCTTATGCTTAATTGTTTCTAATTCCCATCTTAAAACAAAAGGATTGTGCAGTGCTACAGTTAATGAGAGGAGAAACAGATGCAGCAGGCAAGATATATTGTACAGGAGATGTTAATCTTGCTGCTTGGGGGGATGAGCCCAGCGCTAATGGATGGCTTCAGCACACAAACGCGTTCCCCTGCAGACAGGTTGGCGAGTGCTCCTTTGTGCCGGGCGCTCCTCCAGCTCCTCCCAGCGCAGGGGATGCGGCAGTAGCGACACCACCACCCCAGGCCATGCAGAGGAAGGGAATCATCTCCTCCAAAGCAGAGAAATCCATGAGCCGACGTCTTTAAAAGTGTTGGTCGAACCCTACTCCTTTTAGGCCGTTGTTGCCACCCCCCCCCTCCAAAAAGGACCATCCCCGCGTGCTTCGCTTTGGGCTCTCGGCAGTCCTGGGACAGCTGTTGGATGACAGGGGGCATTAACTTGTGCGTCTGCGGCTCTGAAGTCTCTTCGCTGCAGTCACAACAGATATTTTCGCTTTGCAAAGCTCTGACTGAGAGTGAAATTTTGTTTCCATTTTTGCCATGGCTGTCAAAAGCCGCGTACAAAATCTGAAGGGCCTTCAGGTATTTTTAGGTGTTGTCCCAGCCTGCCCTGCCCATTACGAGCAGTCGGTTTTCATTTCAAAGCCAGCAAACCAAAAGGCCGTGATGCACTGTACCTAGTCCCTCCACAGCCTCATTTGTGTTTTTAATCGAGTTACTCACTCGAAGCCGCCTCCCGTAACAAACCAGGCCGCTTCCATCAGGGGAGCTCTCAGGCAGCGGAGGGAGCCCAGCGAGCGACACGGCAGCTCCCCGAGGGCTCGCGCTGCTCCCCGGGAACGGCCCTGGCCATGGGTGTTGCAGGCAGCCAGGGCAGCTCTCAGGAAAAGAGGAAACGTGGGATGGAGCAGGGAGGGAGGGATGAATAACTCATAGCAACAGATGGCAACCCTTCCACTCAGGTTAGCTCACGGGCGGTGGAAAGGCATTCTGCTTCTCCCTCCACTGCCGAGGCTTCATTCTTAATACGTGCTCCTTCTTGAGTTGAGCCTTGATATCCTTGACTGACCTCCTGGCTCGTCTGTCTTCAGAGGGAAGAAAAGCTGAAAACATTCCCTGCCCTTCCGCAAGGGCTCTGGTCTTTCTCTATCTTGAATTTTTCAATTAAAATGAGTGGCACTTCATGAAATTCTCTCCCAGTTGCAAAGTAATTTTGTTTATGCTATTGGGATAGAAAAGGAAGGCGGAGAAACCAGAGGTGGAAGACCTCCATTTCTTCTGTTTCACATTACTAAGCTCAGAGTTTACTGGTGCAAAAAAAGGCAATATTGCTCCTTGGGTCAACATCACTGATCAGCTTGAATGCTTTAACAGTTTCAACACAAAGTCTGCACTGACCATGTGCTACGAAGCCACCGATTCGAACCCTGACAAGGCTCCCCTGGCTCTGCACTCTTTTAAGGTAGCTAATCCAAAAGTTGCAATTTATGTTGGCCAGCAAGAGCCCGAGCCCGGGCAGCACAGGAAGAGCGATGGAGAGCTTGCAGCGCAGGAGCAGAAAAGTCCAAGCTGCTGGACTGTTTGCTTAGGAGAAGGGAAACCCTCCACGGCCCGGGCAGGCTCACACACCTACAGAGAACACCTGCCTCCAAGCAGCCCTCACCGCGGGCCTTCCGAACCCCAACTCACTGCAGAGGGGAACTGCTTTCCAAGCTGCTTTCCCCCCTGCTCTCAGGCACTTTGGTGGATATAAAACGAGGTAAATAGAGGGCCTTAGAAAGCTGTCCTAACCAATCTGCAAGATAACACAAAGAGGGGCATCCCGCGTCGTGAAGTCTCTCAAATTTCTGCTACTGCAGGTTTCAGACACGAACTGGGATTTAGGCAAGCAAACGAAGAAAAAGAAAAGGGGAATTTGCAGGGCTCAGCAGGATGACAGATTTCCTGTTTCGGCTGGCTTCTTCAGAAGACCTTGTATATTTCTACAAAACCAAGTGTGAGTTTAGTTGTTGGCTGCTGTGGCTCTGCTCCCAGGAACGGCAAAGCTCTAAGGTGGCTCTGCTTACGCCAACACTGCAAGGACCAAACCCTTGTCTCAGAGGTGCCTGCATATAAAGAAACACAGTTTGGCTCTGCTTTCTATTTCTGAGTTTTGTAGCTGTGCGCTTCCAACCTACATCAGTTGTCAATGCCCTAAAAGACTTTTCAATGCATATATATTTACGCAGTGCCCATGAAGGCAAACTCAGGCTCTTGCAGGGCTTAGGGAACACACACCAATTCCTACTTTGCCACAAAAGCAAAACATCTACAGCTAGTCCTTACTGTGGGCCACCATTCTCTGCTGGAGGGCTGGAAGAGTGTAGGAGCAGATTAAAATAAAAATATATATTCACACCATGTACTAACTTATAGTACCCATATGACTGCAGTTATATTAAGCCATAGCTGCTGTCTACACACTGAGAAAGAGATGCAGGCTTCCCTCCATATTTGTGTGGAAGGAAAACAAAGGCACATACAGCTCCTCCCAGAAAACAAATTTTTAAAAAATGGAGGAATGTGGTGCTTGAAAAAGGGAGATTTGGAAGGCAGCTGAATAACTGCGGAGGCTCTGCGATTCTGGTTGAATTTTTCCTCTGTAGGAAACGGTCCTTTTCCAGTGCCATTTGTAAGTGTCTTTAAAACACAGCCAAAAGTAATAGGAATACAATCAACATCAGATATGAACGAAGACACTTTTTCTGTAGCTGCAATTAGCTGTTGTCAAAGAGGAGGCCATGAATAATGCATGCAGAAGGGTGGGAGGGTTACTTATTTTTCCTCTAAGCAGATTATTTTAGCATGGGTGAAAGGCTACCAAGCTCAAGAACAGTGCTCAGCATCGTGCAGTGTATAAACAGCTGTGGCTCAGCGCATCATAAAAGCCACTGAAGGGCTGAGCCAAAACACATATCTAGCTATGAGGAGGGAAGAGAGGTGCAGCACCGTGTAACCACTGCCGAGGTTCACATTTGCCATCAGCCCCCATGCACATGAGGCCATTCTGAAGACCAGGATATGCCCTTCCTCCTCATTAGGTGTTCTGAAACTGTTGCAGGTGTTACTGTAGCCTTTTGAAAACTCTCTTTAATACCAAGGCTGCCTGATCAATTGACAGACATGGAGAGCTGGAACATGACTTGGCCATTCCTGCAGATATAGGTGCGCAAGAGGAATGTTTTTGGTTGCATGGCCAAGTTTATCCCTGGCTTTGCTTGCATTTACCTCAGAGTCAAGCAAACAGCCTCGGTGCAGTCGATTTTGCCTAAGCATATTATCACAGCTTTTTACTTAATATGTTTTTTCCCCATGCCTTCTTCCGCAGAGCTAAAGCCCGAGCAAATAAATGCAGTCTTTTACCTCATGTTCTCCTTCCTGTGAACTGTCACATACATTTCATAGACTCGCCCTTGGGGAACGGCCCCTGCCGGGATCAGCAAGCTTACTCCTGCAGAACAGAAAAGACACACACAAAAAAAAAAACCAAAATAGAGAGAAAAAAGGCAACCAGGCCTGTGACAAAGATTGACAGGGGAACCAGAAGCTGAAGCCTAGGGTGCCAGTTTTTTCCCCGGCCCCTCAGGAAGGCTCTAAAAGACTGCAGCAACCCACGAGAAAGACTCTTTGCTGCAAGCCTGACTGCCCGCACTGCCAGGCACTCTGTTCTTATTCCCCCGGTGTGTCTGCGCTCGAGTGCTGCAGAGGAGAAGAGGGCTTGTTTTCTTTAAAAGGGGCAAAGAGGGTTTTCCTTAAAAATCAGGGAAAAAAATCCAGTGGAATATTGTCTTAGGAAATAACAAGAACCGGCTGCTTCCTGAATGATGGGCTCTGTGATTGGCAACCTGTCCCCTAATGCACTCAGTTTTTATTTAGGCTCTTGGGGAGACAGAAGTGGCCTTCCTGGCATTTTGAAGATGCCCAGTCTTGCAGAGTGACTGAAAATTTGGCCGTCCAATCTCAAAAAAGTTCAGGCAAACGGGCCCTGGGCCCTTTGTGGTGACACTTAGTTGCACATTTGATTACAAAGCACTGTACAAACATTACTGCAAATTCGGAAATCAAGCAAGCAGCTCCCCAGAAAAGTCCTCTTTTACCATGATAAACACGGTCCAGGAACTCCAGTATCTCACACTTCCTGGTGAGCCTTGGCCAGCTGTCATTGCAGATGTGAATTACCTGGAAATCCGTGGCAGGGATTTTAATTCCTGCATATGACAGCTGAAAATGAAGCTATGGGAAACATACATGCAATAGAAGCTCTGGAAAAACACACCTTGCCATATGACTGCCCCTTCTCCTTCCGTGTACCTTCACCCATGCATGCTCTCCACTGTAATTGGGCTGCTCTGGTGTAAATGAAGGGCTTTGACCATATTACTGGGAGAACATCTATGTGTGCATGACTAGAAGCAGCATGGAGACAACCACGCAAGTTGCAGACAGATTTATATACCTTGCAAAGCCTCTTTCAATCATTTGAAAGGGATTACTGCAATAAATAAGCACTTTTCTCTACAAATTGATATTAATATATGTGAATTACATGTGACTAATAGATTTTGCTGACAATATGCATCACCATGGTGTAGGAAACCTGAACATTAATACCTATCTTCAGATGCTAATTAATATGAGATCCAGGATTGTACAGAATGAATTTTCAACATTGCTCAGTAATCAGTACCAGATTTCTTTAAGCAGCTCAGCTTTCACTTAGGCTCTTAAATTAAATATATATTTTTTTCCCTACTCTTTCCCAGTACCTCAGAGAGGAGGGTTAATGCTTACGGACCACTTCTGGTTTCTTCCTGTAAAATAGAGAGCTGAAAGAACTCGAAGAAGTTCAGCAGAACTAAACTGGTCCAGGGCCACCTGGACCTTTTGTTTTTTCCTTAAGGTCAACAAACACAAAAAGACCTGGTAAAGGAGCATGGAAATAAGGGCAGAAGGCATCTCTTCAGGCAGAACACAGTATTGTGTCAAGCACTGACCTCCAGCTATGAAGGAGGGAGGCAGAAAAGCTGTGAGACCTTGAGCTTCAGTGTCACGTATTTCTGAGCTGTGATCTCACATGGACCCAGACAACCAAAGAAACAAGGCTGAGGGGATCCCTCACCACCATGTGCTGGAGGGCCGCCTGAATATTCATCAGGTCAGGCGTTTTCTATCTGATTCCTTCAGCTAGGAGACGTAAGCGCTACCCTGAGTCTCTCCATATTTTGGCCTGAGCCATGTTTGCCTGCAGAATGTAATGCAGCCAGGAAAATAGCCTTCTGAGAATTAGTATTCTGGTGTCCTACTTCAATACCACACCGTCTGCGATGAATTGGAAGTGGAACAACCGATTTGTTTTTTAATTAATTTGTCCTTTTATGTATGATGACAAGATGGAGATTTTCTGGCTTGAAAACCCTTTTCTAGAGGTTCATGAAACGAAAAGGTCAAGGATTCTGAATCTCAATTCACACAGGCAAGTTCTGAAGCCTAACACATCCGTGAAGGTGGCTATGAGGCCTGTGATATTCTGTTCAAAAGACTGCTGGGACTTTGGGAAAAGGACATGTGTAATAGCTGAGCAGACCTGAATGGTGGGGTCTTTGGTCTGAGTAAAGAAAAGCAGAGGCCAAGGTGAGACCCTGTTTTTTTGTTTTTTGTTTTTCCTGCATGAAAGAAAACAAAGCTAACTCCACATAAGCCCACGAGACAATTGTGCTTTTAAGCCAAGTTGCCCTTACCTGAATCAGGAATTATTAAGTGGCCCCCTAAGGAGTTGAAGGTCCCGAAGGCAGTGCAAGATGGGTCTGTCTGTCGAGCAAGGCTCTGGTTCTTCATGTTGAGGGTCTCGTTCTCCAGCAGCGACTGGGTAATCTGCGGGGACAGCTTGGAGGAGAAGTCAGAGAGCTCGTCCTGGGGGGTCACTGCGCCAGACGTGTTATAGACCTTGATCTTCAGGTTAGGCAGTGGATCTAGGATCGGAGAGTTGGTCATGGGGATTTTATCAGAGACATCATGCAAGGCGTAGACAGGACCCCTGTACATGGCTGCAGCAGAAGTGAGGTCTGGTGGCACTGCCAGCAGGTCTGCATTGGAAATGAAAAAGAATAACCTTATTACTTGTGGGTTTTCTTTGCTATTCCGATGATTTCCTCCTGGGTAAAGATTTTTTTTTGCATTCATTTTATATTCATACCAAAGGTTACGAAAGCACAGTCCTGATCTCCATCTCGTTTCTGTGTAGCTCCCCAGCTGTCTCCCAGGGCATTGCACAGCCCAGGCTCTGTGGAATCTAATTGTTATACAAAATTGAAGGACATTGCTCTAGGGATTTTTTCCTGGGATTATTTTCCTGGCTGTGCTCAGATTTCAAGTATGACATGCTTGGCCTCAGGGCAAAATGTTTTCCATACTCAGTACTCCTAGTTTTACTAACTAGTGCTCACTCTCTAAATGCTAAGTGAGAATCATTACCTGATTTATTTAATTGGCCTAAAGACAGAATTCCTGAAATAAAAGATACAACAAATCTGTGAAGTCATCCTGTCCACGAGTCCCAGCTAGTCTGGGGTTATCACCTAGAGTTTTACAAGTACGATCGACAAAGACAACAAAGCTTCTGCTAGTCACCCATGTTGAAAACTCTTCTGTCACCCCGGCTCTTATTTTAATTTATTTTTCACACGCATGTGCAGGAGGGAAAAAATAAAGTAACTCTCAGTCTAAACGTGGGTACTGAAGGAGCCAGCCGCAGCTTTCCAGTGTCTGTTTTCTGATCGGTGAGGTGTGAAAACAACCACACTGTGCACTGGTGATAAAAATGCTCATCATTAAATTATGTTCTACTGCAACTTCTGTTACATTGTCTATGGAAAGTACAGTATTTCCTACACTATATTTATGCCTGGGGAGACAGGGCACATTAAAAAGGCTATTAGCACAATAAAGGGGGAATGTGTTATAAAACTATTGCAATAGCATCCTGTGATGAACCCTGCCTCTCTCGTTTCCAGCCTAGCTTTGCCTTTTATTTAAATTTGAACAGGACCTGTGTTTCTGGGAAATGTTTCTGTGCTTTGGTCTCTCCTTCCCATTCTCTCTTCAGAGGCTGAACTCCTCCTTTTTCCGCTCTCGAGAGAGGCCGGCGTGCGTTTCCAGCCCTTGAGCATCCGAAGCAAATGGATATGAAATTCCTCCCTTTCTCCAAGTGCCAACCAGCACCCGGTGAGGACCATGCTGCAGCCCCAGAGACCAGATCCTTGCCTGCCCCTGAACGGGTCACCGTGGAGCGGGACAGTGACTGACCTTGCCTGGCGGCCTTGATGCTGACGGGCTGGAAGCCGCCGTTGAGCGCCGACGAGTCGATGATGTCGGACTCGAAGTCGCGGTGGTTCTTGCGGTAGACGAAGAGCGCCACGACCACGGAGATGGCCAGGCACACGATCACGGCGATCACGATGCCCACGTAGAGAGCCACGTCGTCCGAGTCTGGAGCGGCTGCAGCGACAGAGCACGGGAGCCGTGAGGAAATGTAACCCGGCACTTTCAACGAAATACATCCTTATTACTCTCCTTTCCTGCAGATATTTACTGCCTTTTTATAGGCTAATTTAAAACCCATTTCCAAGGCTATATAACAGGTCTGTGCCCTTTTGGTGGAGAATGATACTCAATTTCTCTCCGCAACCTGTGCTCTAATTCTTTACCTATCTACTTGCCCATCTATCCAGGACCCGGGCAGCTGCCTACTAAGCATAATGTGTACTTACATAATTAGTCTTATGCAGGACATTAGCCTGATGGAGTGAATTTTCATGTCATGTGGGCACCTCATAGTTGGTAGTTCGTCTGATAACAAAACCTGTGTTGCTGACTTTTAAACTTCATGATCCTTATTTAGTAATAAAAATCTGCAAAATTCATTTCCTATGAAATGCCTAGAATATTTGAACTCATCTTCTGAGGTGGATTTTTTGAACTGTAATATGCCAAGCCATTTTTCCTTTCCATACATTCTGAATACAAAAAAGAAATAGAAAACAACCTCTCTCCCTCAGTAAAGCAGAGAATCAAACACTGAATTGTCCCCACTGGCATTAACACATATGTGTCCGGATGCAAGCTGGAGCAAGCACAAGAAGTAATGTGGTAATTTACCAAAAGGAACGTGGATTTATTACAGCTCTCTGGTGAGGAAATGGCTAGGATATTTCTACTATGTGCTCTTAACACATCTTCAGCACTAATTCCAGGGTAATCTCTTAACATCATTATCCACTAGTCTTTTTTTTTTTTTTCCCAAAAGGTCTGAAGGCAGGATATAAATTTGATGGGTTTCTGAACAGTGAAGAACCCCAGTTTTAGAGAAAGAGAAAAATAATAAGAAGAAGAACTGCAAAAACAAATCAGATCTTTTTAGTACCCGATTTTCATTCATTTAAAACACGTGAAATAATTTTTACTTTATTTTACTTTATTATTCAGGCAGCATCTCCTCCCGTTTCGCTCGCACGTAAGAGCTGTTATCATTCTGTGTCAGCCTGCTGACAGTGAAAATGCTGCTGTCAGGCAAGCAGCCTGTGACTTACTCTGCTGAATACGTCCCTCTTTGCCTAATCTCACATAGCTGGGCAACAGTAAAGCTTGACCCAAGGAACAGCACCCAAATTAGCATCCAGGAACATAAAATCAAATATCAAACTTACAAGAAAATCCATATTCATTCTGGGTTCTCTGTTCAGTTGAAATAGGATAAATGAAACCTTAAAAAGAAAGAAATCAAACAAAAAAAAATGGGAAGAAAATCAAATTAATGATGAGAACAAAAAAGGGAAGCATGAAAAATGGTTTAATTAAAAAAAAAAGAAGGAAAAGAAACTGATGGCACTTTAAAATTCTGATACAGCACAGAAATATGATTTTGCATCCCCTGTCTCCTCCAGAGCCTTACTAAGAATTAATAAGTAGGCAGATTGAATTTCTGAGCCAAAATCGGTCTCGAGTCACTAACTTTGGAGTGCTTAAAGTCTTTCTTTTATTGAGCATAAACTGTAATGGATCTAATTTATTTCAGACATCAAGGGTCATTAGCATACGGAAAGCCTTTTCTCCATACCCCTCCATATGCTTTAATTCCCAGGACATGTTCGGCAGGGCTCTAAACAGTTTTTTTATTTAATTACGGCCGCTTGCTGTTGATCTAATAGAGCTAAAGGAGACCTGTCGTCACCGGTCAGAGGTTAAATACCCATTTGCTGAGCAGAGGCCATGCAGAAAGCCCTCTTTTTAGACTTCCTTGGGATTATTTTATCCGGTTTGAACACGCGCTCGATAGGAGTTCCTCGGGGAGTGAGGAATTTGTCAGCAAACTGGAAACTGAGTAGCTTCTCTTGAAATTATTAAAAAAATCAATAAGACCCCTGGGGGTCATAATGCTATTTATTTTAAATCTTTGCAAGCCCCTAACATTGACCAAGCCGTGGCATGACTTACAGTTGTATTTCGGAACGGATGAATATCGGAGGCTGTTTTTTTGCAGCTTTTCCCTGTGTGGCTCCTCCAGCAGGGCCTGCTCCCCACGGCCCTGCTCCACTTGGGGAGCTGCTGCTTGCCCCTGCAGCACCACAAAACCTCTTGCCCTTTTCTTTCTTCTTCTCTCGGCTGGCAAGTTCTGCAGCCAGGATGGTGCCTCATGCCAGCAGCCGCCACGCCAGGAGCACAAACAGCGACGCTGCCTGGATTATTTTGGCTGCTATTGAAATTGTGTTCTCTGTTGCAGGGAAAATGAAAAGCCAAATTCAAGTCTTCTCTGCAAAGTAAACAAGTCTCATCTTCAAACAGGCTGAAAGAAATGAACTTCTTTGCAATCTCTTCACAGGCCCTGCTTGTCACAAATGCTTATCTGCATCTTACAATTTTACATCGCTCCTCTTCTTGATCGCTACAAAGAGCGTCTTTGCAGCCACATACGAATGACACAATTTTCCTCACCAGAAAGCCTTTATGCAATATTCAAAGGCACGTCTCCTTAAACAGGGGGAAAAGGCGGGAATACTGCCCCTTGCTCCCATTAGCCTTGCAAAGCAACAGGCTTAGCAAAGCGTGTGTGATTTTAGTCTCCCGGGTGCACCACGCACCGAACTCAGTGCTAAAATCCAGCGCGCTGTTCCAGAGAAAACCAGCTCGCACGGGTGCCCACAAGGACATGTTTTTAGCCTGAAAAACACACGTCTGCACACATACACACAAGGAAGGCATGGCCAAGGTGGAAGGGGCTCCTGCTTGAGAGGCGTGCAGGAACGTGGCTCACAGTCATGCCGATTCTTTGCTGTTGGCCACGAGTCAAGGCTGGCCGAGCTGGCTGTGGATGGCCACGAGGCACCTGGGCTGGAGGTTCGATGGCACCTGAGGTAAATCTTAGCCACTTTGTGAAGTGAGGGTGCTGCAAAAGCGGGGCTGTGGTGGCCTGGAGAGCGGCTTGGCGGAACAGGAGCACTTTTGGAAACTTGCTTGTGATGAAGGGGCTGTGCCGCAGCGGAGCGGCCGGCGGCAGCGGGAAGCGGGAAGCGCTCCTGCCCAAGAGCACTGCTCGAGGAAGCGGCTTTCATGCGGGTCCCGCTGGCTGCGCCTTCAAGCAAGGAGATTTCTTCAGATAATGAGGGCAACCTGCTGCGATCAGTACCTGAAATAATGAAAAATGACTCCCCTTCTTTCTTCAAAGTAACCGTGGTGAAAAGAGACCTTTTTCTTGTTTCCTTTTTTTTCCCTTTCCTGTACCAACAGCGCTGCTCGGCAAGTACCTGAGGGACTCCTGCCAGGATCATCGTCACTTTTAACAAGGGTGAGTGCAGAAAGGTGCTGTTGGCTTGGACTCCACGAAGGCTGCTGAGTCACGCAAGGAGCAGCAACTTGTTTTGAGAAACGTTATTTAAGCTTCTTCCTACAGCTCATTGGGAACATAACTTTTCAAAGGGGCTTTTGATGTTTTCTTGTGTAACTTGCTGCTGGACCAGTAAAATAGAAACAATCATGCTTTGCACATGCACGGGATCTCAGAGGCCTAGCAGAAGCAGGTATTATTTCCCTCTCCTTACAAAAACTTTGATCTAAGACATACCTGGAGAGTCAGGCAGAGGCTTGAGCTGTGCCCAGAAATGGCACCACTGTCCTTACACAGCAAATGCATTCGTTAAAAAGCCTTTAATTAAGTCCATGTTTCTCCATGTATTCTACTTTATATTCTACCATAATCTTGTAAATACATTTTCTGTCCCTGTGAAAGTGCTTCCACCAAATATTAAAGGTGCCTTTTTAGGCTAAAGTAACGATAGTTGCACAAATCCTTTGTACGACAGCAGATACATCCTTATAAAAGAGCATTAAGTAGGCATTGCCTATTCCCTTCCTGTAAAGAAATTTCTAGAGCCAGTTAAACAGCTCTAGACTGATGTAGCATCTTGGGAAGAAAAATGGAGAAGGGCTGAATGCAATATTGTAGTGCAAAAATTAAAAGAATGCAACTTTGGTACACAGAAAAGACTTCAGCAGGCTTTTTATCAATTTAGTCTAACCCAATTTCAGCATCAGTCGATTTTGCACTGGGGAATTGTGTCCATTTGTCTGTATTGCCTTTGAAGCTCATCTAACTGAGTGGGAGCAGTCCGTGAGCGCGGAGGCCCCCAGCCCCTGGAAGTGCAGCCTGAGCACACACCCTGCACACAGCTTGCTCTGAGCTTCAGGGCAGGAATTCGGTGTGTGGCAATGGAAAACCTGGCATCTGTGGAAGAAAATCGTGCAGAGACTGTGGCACTGACTCCCTCGAGCCTCTCTGAAATGGAGTCACCAAAGCAACTTTTCCAATGTCTTCTGCCTCTCAACACAACTCACGGCACATCTGTGCCTGCCACCCCAGTGCTCAGCCTGGGATCTCCGTACCACGACCATTTAAGAGGAGAAACATCCTGCAAGCCTGTGTTTAATTTTATCTGGAAAGGGACATGAGCACCCTGGCCCAGCCTGGGAATTGGCTCATGTAAGAGACAACTTTTCTCCCTGTGGGATAAAACACAAGGTCTCTGGCAGGGCTTCATTCATACAAAACTCTGTAACCCCATTTTCCCTTAATAGCTACCTCTCTAGCTTTTGGAGCATGCTGAATTCGTGTTACTGCATAGCATTTTAGTGTGAATTAATCAGCTTATAAAAAGATTTTGTTGCTTGCAGAAAGTAAAATATTTACTTAAAAAAGGAGAAAAAACTTCCACATTTTCTTTTCGTATTTTCCTGTGCTGCCTGTGCAACTGCTTTCTCTCTTTTCCCTGCAGGTAACTGTGTGGG